AATAATTTTATTAGTCAAGACTCAAGATTAATGTATTCATCATGTTGTAATAGTTAAGCAAAATTAACATGGATTGCTAGTTTTCGGAATATTTCAAACACCACAGTAAAAATATTTTTTAGCGATAATTAATACTTCTCCCTCTGTTCCTTTTTATATGTCATCCCTTTCTATAAATAGTTGGTCCATAATACTTGTCATTTCATAAAATTAATGCATAAATTATCATATTGTTCCTTTTTTACCCTCGTGAGTGATTAGCCTTGAAAATATATATTTGATCAACTTAGAAAAGCTAAGTAAACATGTTCATCGGTTAAATTAATTAATCAAAATAAATTAATTCATATTCATTGATTGAAAATTTGAGTTTTAAAAAAATTAAATAAGGGTAGAATAGTAAACTTACTTAGTTTCTTAATGCATATGAAATCCAAAATGGTGACATATAAATAGGAACAAAGGGAGTATATACACATTAATAAAGAGCGTTAAAGTCTTTATCGACATGAGTTAATTGTTTTTGAATCTAATATCGTTATAGGCTTCATCAATATTTACAAAAGAGTGATAACATTCTCTATGTCCCTAATTACTTGTCCATTTTTGAATTTACACACATAATAAGAAAACAATTATTGACATAGTGAATTACCATTTTACCCCTATTAATTATGAAGTTGATGAATTAAAAATTTAAGATTTTCAAGAAAGTTCTACCTTTTTCAAACTAATTAATTGAAGGTATAATAGGTAAAAATATTTTGTCTTTTCTTGATTTGTCAAAATGGACAAGTAAAAAGGGACAAATTGGACAAGTAATTGGAGATAGGGGAGTTAATTATAACTATTAAGTACCTCCAAAAAGATATACTCTCTCCGTCCAACAATAGTTGTCCACTATACTCCCTCTGTCCCTAATTACTTATTCGTTTTTGAATTGACACTCCTATTAAGAAAACAATGATTGACATAGTGAATTTATCATTTTACCCCTATTAATTATGAAGTGGATGAATTTAAAACTTAAAATTTTCAAGAAATTCTACATTTTTCAAAGTAATTAATTAAAGGTATAATAGGTAAAAAAAAATTGTTCTTTCTTGATTTATCAAAATGGACAAGTAATTGGGGGCAACTAAAAAATGAAAAATGGACAAGTAATTATGGACATATAGAGTACTATTTTGGGATATCCATCAATACTTGTCCACGTTATGAAATCAATGGATAATTTTGCATTTAGTTCCTGATTTACCATTATCAGTAATTATAGTCATTCCCTTATTATATTTTCAAAACATTGTATTTATTATATTAAAAAAGTGATGTAGTAAAATTATCCTTATATTTATAATTTCTTAAAAAGTGTATAAACTCAATACTCCGTAGGCAGCTACTGTTGGTTAGAGAAAGTACTTAATAATAATTAAGTTATTACCATTAATTAATTATCGCAAAAATCAACGTGAGAGAACTTGCTGGAACTTTGAACGGTGACCGTTCAAATTCAAGAATATCATGAGTAAAATAATAGAGTAAATAAATCGTTTAACAGAAAATAATTAGAATAGACTAAATAAAATATATATAGTGAAAAAAAACATTTCACAAACTGTTGTCTATATTCCAAAAAACTTAGTAGTAGTGACAGACAGCATTGCAATAATTGATGGGCTGTGAAAAAATAACAAAAAAAGTGTGGGGTCTCAAGAGAAGTCGAGATTCCATAGGAATCCAATAAAAACGTGGAATTGTCGGCTATTTCTTAGTCGCATCGTTTCGCCGCATATCTAACGGCGGTGCTCCACCATTAAATGCGACGGCCCCCACCCAGCTTCACAAATTCTCTCCTTTTGTCTTCACTCTCTACCCGACCAAATGACAAAAATATCCTTGTGCATCGAGAAATTACTTGATACGCGAGATAAGATGAGATGAGAAAATAATAGCTTACGGGTTTAAAATATTTCATGAAATTAGTTATTATTTCATTTTTTATAAGAAATAATTAATTTCATTATTTTATGTAAAATATCTAAATATACAAAAATAAGTAGAAATTGCACCTCAAGAAACTATAGATTAAGGGGTTGTTTAATTAGATGGGATGAATAAGAAAAGAATAGCATATGGTTAAGATGTTTCATAAAATTAGCTATTATCCTTTTTTTTTTAGACGAAATAATTAATTTCATTATATTTTACATAAAAAAATACCTGAATTAATTTTTATTAAAAAAAATGAGTAGAAATTACACCTCAAGAAGCTATACCAAGTACTAAAAATAGATAACAAAATAGATTATTATTTTTAAATTACACCTCCAAATACGAACTCTTGTTAAATCTAACAAACGATTTTTTAAAAAAAATTGATGGAGACCAAAGATGCCCCTTTTAATAAAGTTAGTTAAAGGACCAATATTGCTCGAGAGTATATTTAAGGAACATATTAAACCTATCCATTTTGTCATTTTCTCCTTTTGTTTACATCAAATACGTTTAGTAAGAGAAATAAATTTATTTATTTTAATAAAAATGATAATGTATGAAAACTTTTTTTTGTTTGAAAGACGTTTGTACTGGTTCAAACACAAATACTCCTAAAATTCTTCCCGCAAAACGTCTATGGATTCATTTGAACTTTTATATATATATAGTAGATATTGAACTCTCAATAACTTTTTCGGACTAACTTTTTAATTTTTTAAACCTCATTAATGAAAATTCTTACACCGTATGTATCTACCGTTCAAGCATCCCAAAAGAAGGGATAAAATCAAAAAAGAAAACTATAGACTACAGTATGCTCCAATTTATCCTGGAAAAAGTAAGAGGGTTTCGATTCAATTTTGAATGATATATAAGATTACAAAAACATATTATTGAAGCGTAATCTCTCTAATTAACAAACCTCTAAACTTTAGTTTATGAAATTAAAAAAAAAAGTAGTGATGAATGTGAATATTCATAGGGACAAAATAAGTAAACCTAATGTGATGAAAAATGGAGTGTTCAACACTATTGTCCTTCAATTTAAGTCACGCCACTCATCATTTCTAATATACTTACTATCTTCTTCTTTTTTTCATCACCTATTTGGGCTTTTTCATTCATGCCACACCACACATGCACCTCTTACTAAATTTAGAATTTGTAATTATTAAAATAAAATAAAATAAAAAACTCGATGCTTCTATGACAAAATATTTCTTTAATTTATAATTAATCTTTTGTTTTTCAATTAGTACGTAAATAAAAAAAAAATATTCTTTCCTCTTTTTGCATCACATGCTTATTTGAATCATATTATTGCTGCATGCAAATCAGTAGTTTTCCAGCATCATGATTCCTTTCTTGGTCAAATGCAAAATACTTTAAGCCAACACATTTTTATTTTTTTTATTGATTGTGATATTTTTCCCATCTATCTTAGTCTGAAAGTTTTCGAAGATTTGAGCAAATTTTTAGAGTTAAATTGGAGTAGATAATCTTTTTTAGATTACAATGTAGCTATTCGGAGACTATAATTCCAAAAGCCCAAAGGCCAACAAGACCTAACGAGTTGTTTGGTTGAATTCAAGTTATGATGGAATTAGTTATGCTAAGATTATTTTTTATCAAATGTTTGATTTGTTGTATTCAAATTATAAATTTTAAGAACAATTTATTTGTTTACAAAAATACTGAAAAGTGATGTATAAAAAGGGTTTAAAGGGATATTTTTGTCATTTACTTATTTTATCACAAGATAAGTTATCCCGAGATTACAATACCACTTAAGTAATTATTAATCCCGAGATAAGTTCTCCCAGACTTGTCAACCAAAGAACAAAAATTAAGTGGCACTATAATTTAATCCCAAAATTATTTGGTGTAATCCTTCACGCCAAGCAACCTGTAAGAGTATTGACTACATTTTTTCTCATGCTCGAGTTCTCAAAAGTACTTAAATTAAGGTACAATGAATTCAATCGTAAAAAAACGTAGATTATTTTAAAAGAAGAAATAAAAGTGTATTTTGTGACTAATTAAACATCTTTTTGATTATATTCAATTTATATTTTTGAAAAGAGTAAAAGGCCGCTATGGAAAAATACATGTGAATTCAAGGCGATTTGGTATCAATCGGGTAAGGTTAAGGGAAGAAAAAGAAAGAGTTAAAGTGAAAAATAATTAGTAAAGATAACAATACACCCATTTCGGGAGATTTGAATGGTCTCAATTCCTTTCTTTTGTAATTCGTGTTAAAAAGAATGTCTCTAAATGGATGGTAAGGAAGATATTTAGGCTAAATACGTGTTGTTGAATTCCTCAGATTAGCTTGACAAGAAAGATCATTATCAAACAGCTATACCTGAAGTTGATAGGAGATCAGCCAAATTACCATACAAATGACAGGAATAAAGCTAGTTTTACTTTGTGACTATTAATGCACTACTTTGTGCTGGCTGATAGGATCTCAAAATGGGGAATGGAAGATGTTCTTTATGCCTAACGTGTGATGAATCCAGAAATCATTTGGTAATAGAATGCTCCTATACCAGGAATCTATGGAACATGCTCGTACTGTGGTTCAGAAAAAATGACCATCCTTGCTACCATTTGGAATGGTTATCTCCAGTGGGTCATCAAGAATGCTAAAGGCAAAACTGCAGATGATCCAACTCGATCTTCAACATGATGTATACAAAAGCTATCTACGAGAGTCATCACCAAGAAAAGCAGGGAATGGGGTACTTGGCAAAAAATGATGAGATAAAATTATTGTATCTTGTTTGGTTGCCATGTTTGGGACAAGTTATCCCACCATTTATATCATAGTGATGGGATAAGTTATCCCATATACATGGCGGGGTAAGTTATCCCAGGATAACTAATCTTGGGATAACTTGTTCCCAACCAAACGAAACTAGTCTAGTCCTACATAAGCTTATGTACTAGTTGGTAGAGATTGAGACTTACCTTGTAGAAATCTAGCAGTGATTGCTAAGATATGGCTTTGTAATGTTTTCACTTGGTGATTTATAGAATACAGTCAGTTACCAAAAAAAAAGGATATAACAATTTTGTTTTTTCATTGTTCCAATTTTATCAGAGTCCAGGGAGGGACAACTATTTTGTTTTCTTCAATTTTTTTTCTTTTTTTGCGTTGGCAGAAGGGAAAGCTTCATACCAAGTAGCATTTTGCTAAACATTCAAGATCATATATTCCTATACTATGGCTGAATAAGTATACCTAAAAGCCATAGAAACTAAGACAGAAGCAGCAACCACTAACAGGGCCAGGTAGAAGATAAATTACCCTCATTGCCAATTGCAAGCAAGCCACATTATCAGTCTTCTCTTTTGATAAAATGAGCAGTCAATAGCTTTGTAACTGTGAAGCCATGGAAGGAATCAACTTGAAATAGTTCTTTTAACCTTTCATCGCAGATGATTGTCTTCTTATCAGATGGATCCTGGAAAGAAACAAGCACACCGTCAAATCCTGAGATTGGTGATTTAACATGCCTAGCATGCAACCAATAGATAATTGCTAAGGGATGCCATTTTCTCCAGTAAATTCCTTTCCAGTAACGATCAATACCCTTTTAATTCATGACATATGTCCAAGAAATATTCATGCCTCGTAGAGAAGTTATCAGATGGAGCTCTTTATTTTTGAAGGAAGATGATATTAATTATACACAAACACATACATATACCATATAGCAGTACTGCTCTCAAATAATTAAAGATATAGGAGGTTTAAAATATTCTTTCCCGGAAAAGGAAGGAACTAAAAAGAAAAGAGGTAAGATAAGTTGGATAATTAAACATGAATGCCAACTTTATAAAAAAGGAATATGCTAACTGAATGAGTATTAAAACCAAAACAAGAACTAAAGATAGTGAAGGATGTCAACAGAAAATGGAACAAACCTGCAGCTCATTTTCTTTTATATATTGCCATATTCGCTTAATAACATCAGCTCGCGGCAATGCATTTTCACCAATACCTAAGAATTTCACAAGAGCATCTGATAATTGAACTGGAGCAAGAAAACCAAATCCTCCACCTTTCTGCCTTTTCTCTTTCTGCTTTGGCTCATCTAAAGCTGGTTAATTGAGAGTTGTAGATTTGACTTAGCAAAATGATGGATATGTCATTAGTTGGAGAAAAGCTGAAGCAAAGGCTTCGCCATACTGCAAGCAACCTATAAAGAGCGGAAAGCATTTCGAAATCGAAGCCTATTACTTTCTGCACTTCAAGCAATTTATTCTCACCTTCTTCTCTGCCTTTTTTCGGTAGCCTTCTCTTCACAGAAGTTTTGACTTGAGTGCCTGCATGAGTCAAACAAAAGTATCCTAAATACACAAAAGATTTCACAAGCACTTCCACTAAGTTGAGTTCTGAGTCTTATGGATATGATAGGTGAAGCGCCACAAGCAACTCTGAAGTCACTACCAAGCAGAGATTTTAATCTAGACAGGCTGATAAGCACAACAACAACAACATACCCAGTGTAGTCCCACAAAGTGGATCTGGGGAGGGTAGAGTGTACGCAGACGATACCTCTACCTCAGAGTTAGAGAGGTTGTTTTGGATAGACCCTCGGCTCAAGACGAAAACAGTCCATAAAAGAAAAGTAATAGAAGTACAAGAAGCAACAGACAGCAGATAGTAGCATAACAATACTACAAAGTAATACAATAATCAAACTACACGAAACAGTAGATAGTAATAGAAATGGAAGAACAAGAAACTACAAGAGTAATATTACGACTACTAGTATGTACAGCAAGACTATACCTACTAGTATGGATGTGATCCTAAGTCCTACCAACTACCCCCTTCTACCCTAATCTGTATCCTACACACCTTACTATATAAGACCATTTCCTCGGGAAGCTGCACTTGCCCCATGTCATGTCTACTCACGTCTCCCAATATTTCTCAAGTATACTGCTAGTGCTACCTCTCCTGAATCCATCCATAGCCAACCTCTCACACCTCCACACTGGGGCATCCGTGTATCTCCTCTTTACATGCTGCTATGCGTACTGCTGAAACCCCTTAATTTAACACCGTAATGGTGTGATGCCAAATAATTATGCAATAAATCAAGAAAGTAAGAAACTATTGATTCGAGAACCAAAAAAACAACTGACCATAGGCACAGTGCCCTTCTGCAATCATTTAGGTACCTAACAGCAATATTCTGAACAACTATAGCAATACCATGACGATGCAAAATGGCTCATATTACAGAAAATTCCACAATGAAATCGTCAAAAGGAAAGTAAAAATACCATTTTCCTCATTTAAGGGCCAAATGTGCTTGGATAGCACCTTGTTCATCTGGAACATGTCTATACTTTTGACCTGAAAAATTCCACTCAAAACTTCATCACATAAAATTTTCCGCTTGTTCTCTGGGTTTTGTAAATTCTTCTCCCGGATATAGGCCCAAATCTTCTTGACCACCTACTAACAAAAAGACATCACCAAAAAGTATTATAGGAAATTAGATCGATGATAGAGTAAGGATCATAACAAAGACAAGCCATAGAAGTAATGCATCACCTCTGGTCTGCCAAGTTCTGGCTCGCCAACCAATTTCTGAAGCTGTGGAGAAAGTGCACATGGTTTGTTAAAGCCCCCTTTTTTCTTTGCTTCTCCATTCATTTTCTCAGACCTACTTAATAATATTTGAAAACAATTCGACGTGAACAACATCAGACAAAGCACTATTACAAGTGGATGATCAAAATTACGCCACATAAGCTCTCTCTCTCTCTACTCCTATTGTAGCTATGCTATATCACATGTAATTGCTGATACTTGTGAGAATTATCAGTAAATAATTATCAAAAATTGAATCAATGCAATCAGATGGATTACTGATCAATCAATCAACTACGCTACAATCCCAAACTAGTTGGGTTCGGTTATATGATTATATTGTATTGATCATCTATATACAATACCCTTATACCCATTTTATTCCATTAAGAGATAATTTATCTTCCAAGGTAAATTAGGGGTTTGCAAAACTAGAGATTCTTTCACTTTAATACTTTCCTGGCAATGCCGAACCTAAGTGTAAAAACATCAATTAAGTATTAATCTCAAACTTTAATACTTTGGGATTAAAGTTTATCAAGAAATCATACCGCGCTTTCTTCTTTGACCTTGTGGCACTCTTATCCTCACCCACCTCTTCTTCTTGGGAGCAAGAATCGCCATTTTCATCTTCCTTCACTTGTTCTTCCTCTTGTTCTTCTTGGGAGCAAGAATCATCATTTTCACCTTCCTTCCCATTCTCTGCTTCGTGTACGTCGTTCTTTGGAGTTTCCTCAACCTGAATTCGAAGGAAAAGGTCGATTTGATCCCTGATAAATACTTTCCTGTCAAGTAAATCGACCCCAAGTTCCTCCTCAAGCCTCCGACGAACGGTGCCGGCGGTGGCAATTTCAAGGTCGGAAACTCGGAGTATTTCCCGGAGCCGGTCAACCAACACGGAATCCGACACCATTCTTGGGTAAAATGGAAAAAGAACAAAGTAAAGTAAACCTAACTTCGTAAGAGAAACAGAGTAAAGAAGAGGAAAAAAAAAACTCTTACCAACTGTCTAACAAGGAAAATATAAGTACTCTGTTAACTCTTTTCCCTTTTATTCTTTAAATTTTAAAAAATTAATTAAATTACCAATTGGCGACCTCACAATTTTCATTTCCAAAATGGAAAAGTTGAGAATCTATATACCCACAAAGATTGAGAACTCAATTGGTAAAATATATGTAATTATCGAAGGTTGAGTTTTTTTGATTATTTTATTGAGGGTAAATTTATAGCGTTCTAACTCATAAAATATAATTTTAAAATTTATGAATATTCAAAAATTATTATAATTATCATATTTATAAAAGTGCATAACATTATAAATTCTGTATTTTTCTTATAAGATCGGATATATTTGGATTTGTGTTGTTGGTGGGCAAATGCCAAGCCCAATTTGGACTCCTCAAATTACTATAGTCTATAGTTATTTGATTGTCATCTACATTCTTTAAAAAAAAATTGTGAAACTTAAAAATTAACATGTCTAATAAGTTGGAAGATAATTAAAGACTAAATAAATCATAACTATCGTGGAAAAAATATGTATGAAATTAGGGGTCGTTTGGTAGAGTGTATAAGAATAATGCAAAATAGGGTGTATTAGTAATGCTTGCATTAGTAGTGCTTGCATTAGTTGTGCTTGCATCAGTAATGCTTGCATTAGTTATGTCTGCATTATTTCTTATACACTGTTTGGTTTGATGTATTAGAAATAACAAATCTTGAATAATGTCTATTAAAAAAATGTATGTTTACAAAAATACCATTCACACTTTATTTCTTTGTACACTTCCTTTGCAACAAGGTTCTTTGCTAAAACATTATTTACTCCTATTCTTTTTTTTTCAAATATAAAATTAAATAGTTGTTACAATATTGAAATAAGATTTTTAAAAAAAAGAGAGGAAGATGTCAAACTTCTTCACATTTTTGCCACCATATTTCCCAACTATTTGCTAAATTAAAATTAACAAAACACTTTGATTGCATTCCAAAATGGTTGGCAAACTCAAAATCGTTGATTTTGACAGAGAAAGAATTATACCCAAATTGTGAAATAGAGGTAGAAAAATCAAATAATAATGAAAGATAAGAGTACTAACCTTGTGGAGATGAGCAAACAATGTTTGATTGAGCAGAAGGAAGAAGAAACTCACTCTTGAATTTCCATTGACAAAGTACA